TCGATCGATTTGTGCCTTAAGGATACACATGTGAGTGTGAGTTATATGTACAGAAATTCCACTTCTATATGTATTAGTATCGAAATCAATTGTTTTTGATCTCTTTTATTAACAATTTTGGTTACTTCTTGAAAAAAAGATGGTAAAACCGTTTTATTGCCTGGATTAATAGTTCTTAATAAGCAAAAAAAAACTGCCGATTCGAGATTCAAATTAATTTTCGCGCGCCTGTCATTTGTCACCTATAAGTAGGATATTTGTTTACTTACATTATGTTTGTTTTGGGCGGGATTGAGTATTGGTTTAAATGGTTTATCCTAAGTAAAACTATACAGGATAAGATTAAGTTGTATTGTCCATTTCCTGTCAGAATATTTTCCATTAGTCTCTCATATATTGTCTAAGAACATGGTTATAGTGATAGTGAAGAGAAATAGTGTGGCTTTAAAGCTTTAAGGCCAGCCGGCAACATACAAAAAAAGCTAAGGAGACTGATACATCACCTTTAAATTAGTAGAGGAGCATTCAAGAGATAAAAGGGAAGTATTGTAATTCTGAAAATTTAGATTTTAACGTTTTCGAGTCCCTAGATTACGAAAAACAAGTTTTCCCCATTAAGTCGGTCTGTCTGCCGTCCACCGTCTGTTGTCTGCCGTCTGTCTGTTGGCGCGATAGCTCAAAAACGGCTTGAGAGAAAAACTTCAAATTTTGTATGCAGATAAAGCTCAAAACCGGTTATACTTTCGGTCAATTATATACAGGATGAGCAATTAAAAAAAAAAACATTTATTTTTTAAAGTCAGCAGATTTCGACTAAAATTGGTTTCTGATAAAATTGTTATCAGATCAAAGATAACAGACCATGTATTACTTTTTAAAATTTAAAAATGGCTTCCCTGTTTTTACAATTTATACAGGGTGTTTTTTAATGGTATTCTAATATTGTAGGGTGTGATTCCTCAGGTCATTTTATGAAGAAAAGTTCATATGAACATATGTCCGCAATACCTTCAATTTTTTTCTACAGGGAGTTGAAAATTTGTTTTTTAAAGAGGTATTTTTTAATATCTCTGAAAATAGATTAGATATAATTTTCAATTTTGGCATGTGTTAATAGGATAAAAAACCACATTTTTAAGTTAGTAAATTTATTTTATTGCTATACCAGTGGCGTCTCTTGAAACATGTCATCTAACATTTTTCCATGTTGATATTTTTACTTATTTGACGTCAATTCTACATCAATACGGTATCATGTATTATTCTCGCCAGCTGCTGGATTCTAGATTAAAATAATTAAAATAAATCGTCAATACTGCAAAATGAAGAAATTTTAATTTAATTGATGAACGATAAGATAAACGCCACTAAAGTATGTGGTTCTATATCCTATTAAAAATACAAAAATAAAGGGAAAATCTCAATATCATGGTATTTAGTAATACTATATGTACATTCTTTTCTCCTGATTTTTAAATTGTGAGATAAAGAGAAGGTGGTGAAAAAACCGTGCAACTAAACACACCCGAAACTAGCCTTATGTTTGGAATTATCTCAAAATTATCTAAATATTATGTTGAATATTATAAATCAAAACAAGATGTTGATGTTGCTAGAACAGCATTTTCTCGAGTTGTTTGAATACTTTTATTGGGTGATATGAATAAAAATCTGATGTGTCCAACACATGACTTTCCTATCTAATTATTACAGGCTTTTTCCAGTTTTTTTTGTACAACTTATATTACAGCACCTCTGTAAATGTTTAGAGGATAAACTAAATATATACACACATTTTCCACATACTTCTAACTTAAAACATTTTTTAAGACGCAGATTGTTTAGGAGTACATTCAACATGATGATATACAAAATTTACTAATGGGCAATGATTCGTATTTTCAAGACAGCTATAAAAAAGAAGAACTTCTTAAAGTTTTACGAACGAAACAATTTAAAAAAGTATACGCCATAGATAATATTGCTAAATACCATGGAGATTTTCCCCTTATTTTTGTATTTTTAATAGGATATAGAACCACATACTCTAGTCAAAAAAGTTATTTTATTGCTTCACCAGTGGCGTTTATCTTATCGTTCATTAATTAAGTAAAAATTTCTTCTTTTTGCAGTATTGACGATTAATTTTAATTATTTTAATCTAAAACCGAGTGGCTGGCGTGAAAAATACAAGATACCGTATTGATGTAGAATTGACCAGTCAAATGAGTAAAAATATCAACATGGAAAAATGTCAGTGGCGTACTAATTTTTTTGTAGAAAATATCATATGACATGTTTGCAGAGACGCCACTGGTAGAGCAATAAAATAATTTTTCTAACTTAAATATGTGGTTTTATATTTTATTAATACATGCCAGAATTAAAAATTATATCTAAACTATTTTCAGAGACATTAAAAAATATCTCTTTAAAAAACAAAATTTCCACTCTCTGTAGCAAAAAATTGAAGTCGTTGCGGACATATGTTCATATAAACTTTTCTTTATAAAATGGCCTGAGGAATCACACCCTACAATATTAGAATACCATTAAAAAACACCCTTTTTACTTTCCTATCTGTATACAGATATAAGGAAAGTATAGGAATCATGATTTTTTTCGACCTCGAGTTTTCGACGGATTTTTACGTTTTAAGGTCCCCTGAATCCGTTTTGACTATTTTCGCGATGATGTGTGTGTGTCTGTGTGTATGTGTGTCTGTGTGTCTGTGTGTCTGTGTGTCTGTGTGTCTGTGTGTCTGTGTGTCTGTGTGTCTGTGTGTCTGTGTGTCTGTGTGTCTGTGTGTCTGTGTGTCTGTGTGTCTGTGTGTCTGTGTGTCTGTGTGTCTGTGTGTCTGTGTGTCTGTGTGTCTGTGTGTCTGTGTGTCTGTGTGTCTGTGTGTCTGTGTGTCTGTGTGTCTCTGTGTCTGTGTGTCTGTGTGTCTGTGTGTCTGTGTGTCTGTGTGTCTGTGTGTCTGTGTGTCTGTGTGTCTTTGTGTCTGTGTGTCTGTGTGTCTGTGTGTCTGTGTGTCTGTGTGTCTGTGTGTCTGTGTGTCTGTGTGTCTGTGTGTCTGTGTGTCTGTGTGTCTGTGTGTCTGTGTGTCTGTGTGTTTGTGTATCTGTGTATCTGTGTATCTGTGTGTCTGTGTGTCTGTGTGTCTGTGTGTCTGTGTGTCTGTGTGTCTGTGTGTCTGTGTGTCTGTGTGTCTGTGTGTCTGTGTGTCTGTGTGTCTGCGTGTCTGTGTGTCTGCGTGTCTGCGTGTCTGCGTGTCTGCGTGTCTGCGTGTCTGCGTGTCTGCGTGACTGCGTGTCTGCGTGTCTGCGTGTCTGCGTGTCTGCGTGTCTGCGTGTCTGCGTGTCTGCGTGTCTGGGTGTCTGTGTGTCTGTCTGTCTGTGTGTCTGTGTGTCTGTGTGTCTGTGTGTCTGTGTGTCTGTGTGTCTGTGTGTCTGTGTGTCTGTGTGTCTGTGTGTCTGTGTGTCTGTGTGTCTGTGTGTCTGTGTGTCTGTGTGTCTGTGTGTCTGTGTGTCTGTGTGTTTGTGTATCTGTGTATCTGTGTGTCTGTGTGTCTGTGTGTCTGTGTGTCTGTGTGTCTGTGTGTCTGTGTGTCTGTGTGTCTGTGTGTCTGTGTGTCTGTGTGTCTGTGTGTCTGTGTGTCTGTGTGTCTGTGTGTCTGTGTGTCTGTGTGTCTGTGTGTCTGTGTGTCTGTGTGTCTGTGTGTCTGTGTGTCTGTGTGTCTGTGTGTCTGTGTGTCTGTGTGTCTGTGTGTCTGTGTGTCTGTGTGTCTGTGTGTCTGTGTCTGTGTGTCTGTGTGTCTGTGTGTCTGTGTGTCTGTGTGGCTGTGTGTTTGTGTATCTGTGTGTCTGTGTGTCTGTGTGTCTGTGTGTCTGTGTGTCTGTGTGTCTGTGTGTCTGTGTGTCTGTGTGTCTGTGTGTCTGTGTGTCTGTGTGTCTGTGTGTCTGTGTATCTGTGTGTCTGTGTGTCTATGTGTCTGTGTGTCTGTGTGTCTGTGTGTCTGTGTGTCTGTGTGTCTGTGTGTCTGTGTGTCTGTGTGTCTGTGTGTCTGTGTGTCTGTGTGTCTGTGTGTCTGTGTGTATGTGTGTCTGTGTGTCTGTGTGTCTGTGTGTCTGTGTGTCTGTGTGTCTGTGTGTCTGTGTGTCTGTGTGTCTGTGTGTCTGTGTGTCTGTGTGTCTGTGTGTCTGTGTGTCTGTGTGTCTGTGTGTCTGTGTGTCTGTGTGTCTGTGTGTCTGTGTGTCTGTGTGTCTGTGTGTCTGTGTGTCTGTGTGTCTGTGTGTCTGTGTGTCTGTGTGTCTGTGTGTCTGTGTGTCTGTGTGTCTGTGTGTCTGTGTGTCTGTGTGTCTGTGTGTCTGTGTGTCTGTGTGTCTGTGTGTCTGTGTGTCTGTGTGTCTGTGTGTCTGTGTGTCTGTGTGTCTGTGTGTCTGTGTGTCTGTGTGTCTGTGTGTCTGTGTGTCTGTGTGTCTGTGTGTCTGTGTGTCTGTGTGTCTGTGTGTCTGTGTGTCTGTGTGTCTGTGTGTCTGTGTGTCTGTGTGTCTGTGTGTCTGTGTGTCTGTGTGTCTGTGTGTCTGTGTGTCTGTGTGTCTGTGTGTGTGTGTGTGTGTGTGTGTGTGTGTGTGTGTGTGTCTGTGTGTCTGTGTGTCTGTGTGTCTGTGTGTCTGTGTGTCTGTGTGTCTGTGTGTCTGTGTGTCTGTGTGTCTGTGTGTCTGTGTGTCTGTGTGTCTGTGTGTCTGTGTGTCTGTGTGTCTGTGTGTCTGTGTGTCTGTGTGTCTGTGTGTCTGTGTGTCTGTGTGTCTGTGTGTCTGTGTGTCTGTGTGTCTGTGTGTCTGTGTGTCTGTGTGTCTGTGTGTCTGTGTGTCTGTGTGTCTGTGTGTCTGTGTGTCTGTGTGTCTGTGTGTCTGTGTGTCTGTGTGTCTGTGTGTCTGTGTGTCTGTGTGTCTGTGTGTCTGTGTGTCTGTGTGTCTGTGTGTCTGTGTGTCTGTGTGTCTGTGTGTCTGTGTCTGTGTGTCTGTGTGTCTGTGTGTCTGTGTGTCTGTGTGTCTGTGTGTCTGTGTGTCTGTGTGTCTGTGTGTCTGTGTGTCTGTGTGTCTGTGTGTCTGTGTGTCTGTGTGTCTGTGTGTCTGTGTGTCTGTGTGTCTGTGTGTCTGTGTGTCTGTGTGTCTGTGTGTCTGTGTGTCTGTGTGTCTGTGTGTCTGTGTGTCTGTGTGTCTGTGTGTCTGTGTGTCTGTGTGTCTGTGTGTCTGTGTGTCTGTGTGTCTGTGTGTCTGTGTGTCTGTGTGTCTGTGTGTCTGTGTGTCTGTGTGTCTGTGTGTCTGTGTGTCTGTGTGTCTGTGTGTCTGTGTGTCTGTGTGTCTGTGTGTCTGTGTGTCTGTGTGTCTGTGTGTCTGTGTGTCTGTGTGTCTGTGTGTCTGTGTGTCTGTGTGTCTGTGTGTCTGTGTGTCTGTGTGTCTGTGTGTCTGTGTGTCTGTGTGTCTGTGTGTCTGTGTGTCTGTGTGTCTGTGTGTCTGTGTGTCTGTGTGTCTGTGTGTCTGTGTGTCTGTGTGTCTGTGTGTCTGTGTGTCTGTGTGTCTGTGTGTCTGTGTGTCTGTGTGTCTGTGTGTCTGTGTGTCTGTGTGTCTGTGTGTCTGTGTGTCTGTGTGTCTGTGTCTGTGTGTCTGTGTGTCTGTGTGTCTGTGTGTCTGTGTGTCTGTGTGTCTGTGTGTCTGTGTGTCTGTGTGTCTGTGTGTCTGTGTGTCTGTGTGTGAATGTGTGTTTGTGTGTTTGTGTGTCTGTATGTTTGTGTGTCTGTGTGTCTGTGTGTGAGAGTGTGTGTGTGTGTGTTTGTGTGTCGCATAACTCATGAACCGATACACAGAAAAACACCAAATTTTAAACTTAAGCTTTGTTCTAGCAGTCAATGAACAGATTAGATTTTGAGCAGAGTAGGAACATCTGGGGGGCTATTTTATAAGTGGTCATTTTTATAATTTATGGAATATATCTGTTATTTACGTTTGGGGAAGAAAATTTTTTAAATAAAAGTTACTTCTTGTATTATTATCAATAATTTTTGTTTTATACAAAATTTTCCTAAAATGGTCTGTATTCGAGAAATTTTACAAAATGTAAAAAAATATTTTTTTATAAAAATTGTTTAAATAAAAGTTGTTTGTATTATAATTCTCTATAATTTTTATTCCATACATAATTTCTCTAAAATGGACCGTATTTGAGAAAATTGTACATTTTGAAATTTGAAGAAAACTCAAAAACGGATAAAAAACATTTAATTTTAAACTTAAGTTTTAGTTCGGCCTGACGTTAAATAATTAGATTTTGGACAAAGTCGGAACATCTGAGGGGGTACTTTATGGGAGGCCGTTTTTTATATTTTATGGAATATATGTTATTTATGTTTGGAGAAAAAAATTGTTCAAATAAAAGTTACTTCTAATATTATTATCTATAATTTCTGTTTTATGTCAAAATTTCCTGAAATGGTCCGTATTAGAGAAATTTGACAAAATGTGCAAAATTCTGATTTTTATGAAAATTGTTGAACTAAAAGTTGTTTGCGATATCGATCTCTATAATTTTTGTTTTTACATGATTTTTCTAAAATGGACCGTAATGAAAAAACTGTAGGAAATTTAAATTTTTCAGTATTTTCGTTTTCAATGAATATCTATAGAAAAATGTTTCGAGGTAGATGTATGTGGACAATGTATATATTTAGTTTATCCTCTAAATATTTATAAAGATGCTGTAATAGGTTGTACAAAATTACCGAAAAAAGCCTATAATAACTGGATAGGAAAGTCATGTGTTGGACACATCAGATTTTTTAATCTATTTTCAGATTTAAAATAACCCAATGCAATCCGTTTACGTACGCTACTGCTGAATATTCTAATATGAGCGAGAAAGCCTGCATTAGAAAAAGAAACAAATATTTTATTAGATTAGAGTGACATTAACATTGTATAGGTTTATACAGGGGTAGCCTATCTGTCAATATAGTATCTAAGGTATTACCTACATCTTGGCGCAATATTTTTAATAGTTGTTTTAATCATCCGCTTCTGCTTCGGAATTATCGGTTTTCTTGTTTTAATCTGACAGGTCAAAACGACTAAACCGACAATTCCGGAAGCAGAAGCGGATGATTAAAACGCACTTGATATTTTGCTTGCTGCTGTCAGTGTCAGTGAATATTATTTTTGGAGTCACAGTTTATTGCTAAAGAATCAGTTAGCTCACTCGGACCAGTTGAAAGTTCCAAAATAACATCCACTCCAGGGATACAAATTCAGGATGCGCAGAAGACTGCTGTTTTATTATAGGGGGTTGTCATATATTGTATTATCCTAGTTGCGAAGTATATAAACTGGAACATTGAGATCAAAAGTGCCGACGCAGAGTGAGCGAACTGATTCTTTAGCTATTAACTGTGGTAAAGGCATCAAAATGGCCGCGCCCTATGTTGGGCGTGTCAGACCTCTCTCTTGCAGCGTATAGTAATCAAAGTATGTGTTACGTATCCTATCTTTATGTCCCTGATTTATGGTTAGAATATAGATCACATATTTAAGAGGGACACACAATAAAATGTACCAACATACATTCTTACATAAACGTTATAGTATAAATTACATGTTGGTAGCAAAATTACAACATTCCTATGGCTACAAAAATTTATTTAACCGCACTCTAACATTTTGGCATTTTCATTCTTGTCAACATCAACATTTAAAAAAATTTAAAGTCACAATGCAACATACATCAAAGCATTAATGTTTCACTTAAAATGACTCGTATGGTAGTCCATCATGCCATCACCAGTACAAAGCATTCACCAACACGCAAGAGCCGCTACAGTCCAAGTTGCTACAAACACTCAAAAAGATAAAAAGCTAAGCGTACTAGAGTCCCACGGGTACTATCTTGGGAAGACGATTGGAACTGGTTCGTATGCTACAGTTAGGGTAGCTAATTCTGAAAGACATGAAGGTAATGTTGCTATTAAGATCGTCAGCAAATTTTCAGCCCCTGCGGATTATTTGAAGAAATTTTTACCCAGGTAAATTTAAAGAGTGGCCCACAAAAAATATTTCTAAAGTAGGCCATGGCCGATAAAGACAGATATACGAGTTATGTCCGTGATAACTATGCATGGATTTGAATTCGTCGCTGGAAAGACAAAGAGACGTAACTCCATTTTAGCTATTTTATAGGAGACGCAATTAAACTTTTGGCGTATAGTGCTTTGCTTATACATCCGTCCACACATTATTTGCCATATTATGTTAATTATAATGAGGAGAGATATGTTTCTTTGCCACATCATAGATATATATGTGGTAGTCTTAAGTCAACTTGCGCGTTTTTCGACTTATGTATAAAAAATCAAACGATACGTCACGTGTAAATTCCAGGGCCAACTTTAGGAACTTTTTTTGTGGATCATTCCTTACTTTAATCTATACAATTTAGTTTTTTTATCTTTAATGTCTATAGGACATTAAGAGAGGTAGCCGACTATATTTCAGAAACTTATAATAGTACAGCTTTGGGGAAAATATATTTTTAATAAAAACGGTCAAGAGAAATTGCTGGAAATTATTTTCAAATTTGTAGGATGGCCGCTAGGGGGCGCAATTGTGACGTCAAAACCTAAAAATGTAATTTTCTCAAAAAAATACCAAGTAAAGTATATTGATAAATATTACTATTTTAATCTTCAATGTTTTCTGAACAAAAAAGCTTAAGGTGTAATTTTTTATCTATGGTGGGGGAAGGTTAAACTTTAATTTGGAAAAATGCTCATAACTCCGGTTTGGCTTTAGCGAACTTGATTTCGTTTAGAAGAGCTTTTTCAGCCTCATTTTTAGCTTTATAAACTGTGGCTGCTTCCGTTTTGTGAACGACTGACAAATTTTACGAAAGTTTTCGAAAAATTTAAATAAACGATATATATCTTTTTACATAGTTAGATAGAGAAGAAAAAGACCAATACTTTGGCAAAAACCGCATTTGGATATATCTTTTCAAACCGCAGTTTTTAGCAAAAATATAAATAAAACGTAGAAACGTAACACATTTAATGACCCAGCATTTTCTACTAGGTCCATTTTTTACGGTATAATTCAAATTTATAAATTTCTGCAAAACCTAATGCCCAAACATGATTTTTACATATTTTAAATAATCGAACGATATTAGATAAGAATGCATAATTACTTGTGGGTATAATAATCCATTGAGCGTGTAGGTAGGTATATTTGTATATCAAGTAAGCTTTGAAAACAAAAAAAATCTTGCAGTGTCAAAAAATCAACAATTTTCACGTCAGAACATTATTTTGTCGTATTCGCTGTGTTACTGTATTGTGTTTTTTTTTAATGCCTTTGTTGCTTAAAGAGGCGGTTGATATTATCGCTATTTATTTTGAGTGCCTGGAAAATGCGACTATAGCTGCAAGGCCGTTGGTGTTTATGCCATTTGGCGTAGCCAAGTATGGATTGAAATTTTTTGGTTGCGGCGAAGCCGCCACCCTACGAGAGGTCGTTGCTTCGTCTTCTTGTTGTCACGGCATTATTATTATTTATTCATGCATGTGAAATTTGCTTCTAAGGTTTATAAAATACCACTGCTAGTCACGGCGTAAATGAAAACAAACAAGACGCATTTACACAAACACCTCCCACCACAGCAATTACAAATCATTAATGTCGTCCCCCATACGCGAGTTTCAATCCCCAGCTAAGCGTTCGAGTAATTTCGAAAGATTTAGGTATCCCTCAGACTACAGTATTTCGAATATTGAAAGAACACAGGTAATTATTAGATATATTATAATTATTATGATATCCTAATAGTGCTAAGTAATCTTTGTCTTAGGTTACATCCATATCATATTGTGCTGCACCAAGCTTTGACCATCGCAGACTACGACAGGAGATTAGACTACTGACACTGATTGATAAATATGATAGCGGAAGTCAGAAACCTTTTAACCCGAATTTTGTGGACGGAGGGAGCAACCTTTCATAGTGACGGTGGAATCAATATGTTGTGAATGTTTGGTGTGACATTTTAGGCAGTGAAATTATAGGTCCTTTTATTTGGGATGAGCCGCTTAGAGGGCAAATATATTTAAATTTTTTGGACAATCACTTACCACTTCTTTTAGAAAATGTGCCGTTGGAAACCAAAAGAACAATGTTTTTCCAACATGGTGGCTGTCCAGCCTATTTCACAGCAATCGTCCGTAGATTTCTTGATCGCGCATTTCCTGATGGGTGGATTGGAAGAGGTAGCCTATTTCAGTGGCCTCCGAGGTACCTATTGTTTATGTCTATAGTAAAAGACCAGTGGTAAAGTTTTTAATGATTGTATCAATACTATTTTCAATTCTAATTAGGCAAAATTGTCCCCTCGTTTTTGTTGCAGGTCACCGGACTTAACCTGTCTCGATTTCTACCTTTGGGGAAGATTGAAAGACCTTGTTTTTTGTACGAGGCCTACGACATACATACATGGACCCATGTATGTTCTATAAAAATATCAAATAACGTTTAGAGTTCTAGAAATACTTTCCCATTGTTAATTTTTAAATAAATTTATTCCCCAACCAAAAAAATTAATGTTTTATTTTTTCCGAAAACTTTAGAGACATACGTTATACAGTAGATGATGGTGAGGACTTCACAACAAATACACTTTTATCAATGGCTAGTTGGGGATGTGTGTCAACTTCATCAAATCTGTAAGCTGGTTCACAAACTAGGAGGTACCTATCAACTTAGGAGGATGAACAATGGCCTAGTAATACCTACGTCCTATGGGGGTAACACACCCTCACAGATACAATTGGATATGTCCGCAATTGAAAATAAAATCGACATGTTTAAGTATTTTTGACAATATTCATGGTTTAAGATACGATACACAAATACCAGTATGCTACTAAATCGACCCAATTTCGTACTTTCCGCGCATGACGTAACGTGGCAAACAGTATTTGATTGACGTTTAAATAAGAAATATTTTTTAATACAGATTTATTTCCAGTTATAAAGATATAATGATACGCGTTAATTTTAGGAATTTTAAATAATAGTTAAAAGTATTTTGCTGGTGTGCAGTTCATTTTTGAAGTACCTATTTGAAGAGTTTAAAGTATTTTGATTTTGTGTTTCCCAATTTTGGTTCAAACCCTGTGCAGTGGTTTTACTCAAATCTTGTTCGTTCAAATTGTGCATTATTGTTTGACGTTCTTTGTTATGAACATATCCTATTCTTGTCTTAGTTGCAATAATAAATGAACTAAATGTTCATAAAATGTGTGCAATATTTCTATAATAAATTTAACAATGAAAATGTTACAGTTTTTTTATAGAGAACCACTCGTTACTTGTATTTATCTATGTAGATGCGTCGAATTTATATGCTACATGACGTAATATCATGTGACAAGGATAGAGCTAAGGAGATATATGAATGTATTCCATACTCTACTGACACTTTGTTATTTAAAGCAGAGCTGCAGTACTAAATACTTTATGTACTTAAAAAAATTACTTAAGTACAAAAAGTGTTCAAGTACTGTACTTTAAGTACCTGCAAAAATGCATGTACTTGTACCTACATTTTTAAGCTTTTGCCGTTGTACTTAAACAGTAAAATTTGGAATTAAGTACTTTTTTTACTTAAAATAGCGAAGAAAGAAGGCAACTAAGTACTTTAAAAGTACTTAAGTACTTAAAACATTCTTAAGTATATCAATGTACTTAAATGCTCAGAATGTACTTTAGTACTTCGAAAATTTTAACGCTTTTTTCTAGTTTCAACAGGATTTTTCTTGTCTTATTACCGATCCAACGCGTCACCATGTCACCTAATAAAAAGCCATCGCAAAAGTCATTTGACAATAAAGTTATAAAATGACACTATGTCACCAATTTCAATTGTATCCAACCCTAGCTTCGTAAATTTATTTGACGGAATGAACGTTAAAGTTCTGGACCGTTCAGTAGCAACAAAAGCAATTAAGGAAATGTAGCAGAAAATGGGCCAAATTATTAAATTAGATGTTTTGCAAGTAAATTATGTATGTACTTCCGCCGACATATGGTCTTCCAAGAGTCGAAGCTTTATTGGGGTGACATGCCATTGGCTGGATGAAGACCTCATGCGAGACCCAGTGACATTAGCATTTCAAAGATTTGCGGAAACCCATTCATAACTTCGTTCAGTGTTTTAAGGACTTTGGTTTAAACATAGGTAATAAGGAACACTCTGATGAAGAAGACAGTGACTCTGAAGAAGATGAAGTCGTGTTTAACCTCGTCATTTTATCAGACTCTGAGTCAACTCTCGACAGTTCTAATTTTACACAGGAAAGATATTTGCTGCAACACATAAGATGTGCCTCACATACCATAAATCTCATTGCAACTACCGATCACAAAAATTCGGTAAATGGTTTACTGCCTTTGCGACAAAAAAAACACAAATATTTTACAAAAGTTGTGGAATAAATGCGGACGGCCGAAATCGGCTGAGATAATACAAGAAGAACATAAGTTAAAAGTTCCAGGAATTACCAGATGGAATTCCACTTATGACGCTGTCGTCCAAATTGTTTCCGTCAAAGATAAGTTAGAAATTCTATGTAAGTTCTATGTGATAAACTTATGATTCCGGTATTTAAGGAACATGAAATATCCTTTTTAGAGGAATATATCAAATTAATGCAGCCTCTGGCTGAAACATTAGATTTTTTACAGGGGGAGCATAACACCTATAATGGGTATCTGCTTCCCAGCTTAGTTTCGATGAAAACTAAACTTCAAAAGCTGAAAATATCAGGCGATATAAAACAGCTAACAGTGCCTTTAGAGGCCATAATTAAATCTGTTGGGCAAAGATTTAAAGAATTTTTAAGAATTTTTAACTGCCGTAATTGGCGCCGTAGTGTGTCCACGATTCAAAATGCGCTGGTATAACGCCTTTAAACACTTAAATGTTACCACATGCAAAGAAATACAAAACTGGGTAGTCTCGGCTGTCGAATAC